TCAAAGCTCGTCTTATAGCAAAAGGAAATCTTTAGTTCTATGGAAAGGACTACAAAGAGTCATTTTCTCCTGTTGTTAAAATGGTGACTGTTCCCATGCTTCTTGCCACTGCTTTTTTGAAACACTGGTTGATGCATCAACTCGACATTAACAATGTTTTTCTACATGGTGAGCTTGAAGAAGATCTATACATGGTTCCTCCTCAAGGCTATACTCTACCTACTGGCTAGGTTTACAAACTTAAAAGGTCTCTTTACGGACTCACGCAAGCACGTCGCCAATGATATAAGCAATTAACTTAAAAACTCCTCTATTTCGGCTTTACTCAGTCACTTCAAGATCCATGCTTGTTCATTCTTCATAAGCCTGATCACATTACAATCTTGCTGGTGTCCATTGATGATATCCTTCTTGCTGGTCCTAACTTCTCCCCAATCACTACTGTCAAGTCCTTTCTCCATCATGAGTTCACCATCAAGGATTTTGGAAATGTTGGATCTATTTCTTAACATGCAACTTGAACATACTTTTTTCTAGTGTGGTTGTGTCACAGCATCGCTTTATTGAAGATATTCTACATGACACTTTGGTATACTTAACACCATTGTCTACTCTACTCCTGCAGCCCCTGGTTCCAAACTTCGAAGCTCCTCTACATGCATATTGTCCGATCCCACTCCATATCGTCGACTTGTTGGGAAGCTCCTATACCTAACCATGACACGCCCTGATATATGCTATGTTATCCAGCAACTTGCCTAGTTTATGGATCAGCCCACAACTACACATTGGAGGGCAGCTCAACGCATACTTCGTTACTTCAAAGGCACATATCATTTTCAACTTCTTTTTCCGTCTCAAGGACATCTCACTATCTCTGCATTCACTGATGCTGACTGGGGCTCATGCTTGGACACCCACAAATCAATTACATGCTATTGCATCTTTCTTGGTTCTTGTCTTGTGTCTTGGAATACCAAGAAACAAGTCACAGTAGCCAAATCCTCTGCCAAGGTTGCTACTGTCTCCGAACCTTTTGTGGCTAACGCACTTGTTGCGTGATATGCAGATTGATCTCCCTCTTCCTATGTCCGTCTTTTGTGACAACCAATCTGCTATCCAGATGGTTCAAAATCCTGTTCATCATGAACATACGAAGCATATTGACATTGATTATCACTTCATTCGCCATCACTGTAAATCCGGGTTGATTGTCCCTTCATTCAGTCAACTCGCTTATATATTCACTAAGGACCACCTCTCATGTTGTTTTTCATACTCTTCTTGCCAAATTGAACTTGGGTGTCGTATCCTATGTTTAGCTTCCGGGAGGGGGGTGATGGGATTGAGCAAGTCTATTGCTCACTGTCATGACAATGAAAAAGAAAAATATGTCAAAGAAAATAAGTACAAAAACAAATAGCAACATGTAAATTGTGTATACAGTCAGTTATAAGACGGTTACTTTACTAGACAGTTAGTTTCTCAGAAGTATTTGGAATCCATGATGTATATATATAAAATTGTGTATACATAATAAAACGATGAATACAGAAACATACAGATTCTCTTTACAATTGCTCTTTGTGTGTTTACTCTCTGCTTCTTGCAAATTATTTGTCATAGCTCTATATTCAGTCTCTGAGCTTCTAGATACAACTTTTTGCATCTTGGATTTCAACTAATGATGGATTGTTCGAAATTCACACAATATCCATTAATTGATTTTTGATTGTCTATGCAACACCCTCAATCACTATTTGTAGAAGCACTCAACATCCTTTTTTATTCTTTAAGAGTTTTAAGTCCTTTTTGTGGTTCATTATTCAAATATTTGAGTATTTTTAATGCTATTGTGAAGTGTGCATTTATAGGCTTCTGCATGTATTGAGACATCCTTGGTACTTACAGAAGATGTGTCTAATCATGTAAGAGTAAAGTAAATTAGCTTTTCAACTATTTCTCTATAATAGTTGGGGTTTTCCATCTTTTTGTCTCAATTTGTTCTTTAGTTCAATTGGGGTCTCGAAGGTTTTGGCTCCCGCCTATCCATATTTCTATAATAAATTCAGTGTACATTTTTTTTTGACACATTAAGATTTTATCATTGTTGTAGATTATTTCAATTCTAAGAAAGTATCGTAATTTTTGAAATTCTCTTATTTTGAAGTGTTGCTTGATGTTGTGGACGATGCTCTCTACCTCTACTTGAATATGACCCCTTATAACAATATCATCACATGTACTAATAACATTACCATGGATTCAATAAATCTTCGTAAGATGAACAAATAAGGATCATCCAATGATTGAAAAAATCCAATCCTTATTAATGTGGAGGTGAACTTTGAAGTCTATTATTTAGATGATTGCTTGAGTTCATACAAAGTTTTGGTCAGCTTGCCAATAGCCTTGTCTAGACTTGCCAAAATGGTTTAAACCACCGTTTGCGATTACAAATTGTTGATTACAATTTATCAGAATGTCAAATCGAAACTGAATATTCCGAATAACAATATCGGTTACAGTTCATGAACCACCGGTTACGGTTTGAACTGCCGGTTTATATTACTTTTTTCCTCGATCGATTTTCTTAATTTTAATTTTTATGATTAATTTTGATTTCGATTTTGATATACTAAATCTTTGTATTTTGTGAAAAATTATATACATAATGCTTAATTTTTATAAAATAATTATTTATCAATTTATTAATTAAGAATTAAGAAAACAATTGTATATTGTAATTTAATTAGTAAAATAATTTTTAATTTAAATCACACTATTAGAATTTAAAAATTATTTTGTTTAAAACTAAGATTATTTTTTAATTCATTTACATTACAATTTAAATCTATGAATAATTTTTAATTAGATAATTCAAAGATTGCGGACTTTTTTATTATTTATTTGACTTCATTATTTATTTTTTATGACTGTAAAACAATATTTTTTTAAAAAAAAGTAATTCAACTTTCAAGTAAAAAAAATTATTTAAACAGTTATTCTATAAAAGAAAATTATGTAATTATAAATATATAAACAATATTATTTAAAATTGTTTAAGTTTATTATTTAAAAATATTTCTAGGTTTTAAAAAACAATTTAATTTTATTAATTATTGTGTTATTAATAATATTATAAGTTTTTAGAAGAATTTTTTGTTTAAACAATTAAATTATCTAAGTGATAATTTTAATTAATGGTTAAAAAGGTTTAAAAGTTTTTTTTTTTTTTTTTAACTTATGATTCTTATTTATTAATTATATTATTATATTTTATGTTTAGGATTTTATACCTGCTACTATGTTAGTAAATATTTTATTTTTAAGTTATATTTAATTAAAGAGGCATGGACATAATTTTAAATTTTATATTTAAATTTATTTAAGTTTAAAATTTATATAAAATTTAATTTAGAAGTTTAAGTTTATGTTGCATACGTATCTAATTGAAATCAAAGTCCAAGTAGTTCTTTTAAATATTAAATATTAATATAAATATATCTAAAATTAATAAAATTTAATTATCACTTTCAGTTATCTTTTGAAGATCATCAATTATTAAGTTTACATTGACTTTTGTATGCAGTTTTCATCCAATCATCAAGTAAACATTGATTTTCTAAGTGTTCAACAGTTAATTTAAAACGTTTTAGCACTTAATGTCATTATTTCTTTTGCAATTAATGTCATTATTTGATAAGTAGATGTTCTTTTTACCACCATTTAAAAATATTAAATTCTTCTAATTCAGTTTCACTATATTCGAAAGTAGTTGTTAAATACATTTATAATTATAAATATGAATTTGAAATTTCTTTAGAACTCTTACCATATAAAAATCATAAAAGAGTGAAAGTTGTGAAGGTTGAGATGAACTATCGCTACAAAAAAAACACTAAACTAGTATATATATTTTGGTTATGATTAGTTCTACAATCACCAAATTGATGTTTATATTATCTAAAAATTTTCATTAAAAGTTGTATTGCTCCGTATGCAATTGAAGTAGGATTATGAGTTTTATTATCTTTTTCAGGAAATAATAAGTTATAAAAATATGTTACCAATTGTGCTAATTCATCTCATCTTAATTTTGGATAAAACATTTTAGCAACTAAAAATATACAAGGTAAATGTAAAAAGTTTTTAAATTATTTAAATTTCATACAAGTAATAGTATTTTGAAGCAAATCATTTGAAGAAGATCCATTTAATATCAACGCAATTTGAATGTAATGATCTAAAGCCAAATTAGAAGTAGGATGATAAATAACAGATAATTCAGTAGTTAATATTATTAAAAACTTTTAATATTTCACATAAATTTGAACATGAATCTCATTGTTGTGGAAATAAAGTAAAATCACTTTCATATGCTTCTCGTGAAAAAAAAAAAACAATTTCATATAATGCATTTCTATATTCATATGAACCATGTAGCATATTTTATAAGTAGAATTCCATCGAGTTAAAACATCTTAAAAAGAAAATTATTGAAATTATAAACTATTTTGTCTATAAATATCTGTTTCATCGTTTCAATAATAAACTTATTTACTCCCCCCGTCCCGAAATTAAGTATCTATTTGCTTTTTGCATACAGTTTTAGAAATATTAGTATTATATTGGGATATAGTAGAAATAAAGTAGAAATAACTAAAATAACCTTATTAGCATGTGTGATATAAAGATAATGACATTTGTGTAATATATTGTAAATTGTAAACGTATTTGTAATGTTAGGTAGATAGTATAGTTACTTAAAAATAAAAAAATGGATACTTTGTTACGGGAAAGAGGGAGTAAAAAATCTTTTGTTTGATATGATGCATGTGCTCTTTTAAACAACATAAATTATCTTGAATGCGTAAACTTAAAATATTACAAAAACTATCAAATATGAAAAAAAAATTTCCACCACTCATACGAAACGCATACCCCACTCAATAATTACATTTATCCTAGAAAATAACACCGATACCGTTAAATGAGGTTCCGTACAGCCGTTTGCTGTAGTCGCACTTCTTTTGCAGAAATTCATCACCAAAATCGTGTTTCACTCTGCAGCGACAATGGCGGGTGCACTCCGATCCGTGAGCCTGCAGCATCCGATCATAGCAACGCCGGCGCTCTGCCGTGCCGGTTCATATCCTCCGGCGTCGGAGCCATCGTTTTTCGTCGGCAGGTTGAATGCTGCCCCTCTTAACTGGAAGTTGCGCCTCCGTTCGGTTTCTAGAAGTGGTTGTGTTATTTCAGCGAGTTCGAGTCAGGTAGTTCCCCTGCCTCATTTGAGTTTGATTTAATTTGGTGAAGTTCGATGGATGTTTGTCGAATTGCTTCTGCGAGTTCTGAGTAGAAAAGAATTATTGTTATGTTTCAGAGGATTGGCGATGGAGAAAATCGGCTTCCGCAAGTTTTGAAATCAAATTGGAAAACAGTGTTAGCTAGGTTTGCAGTCGATAATTTTCTGCCATTAGGTATGGTGGCGGTGCATATAATGCTTATTTTGATTTGTTTATTGCTATGAGTAATGATTCAATGTTATTTAACGGCATAGCTCATAAAGTTTTAACCCAAAACAACAATCCTTTCAACAATGAGATTGCACACTCAAGAGGTGTTCTATGTGTATACTCAAAACTATAATCATGTATTCTTAGGGTCAGGTATACTTAGGTTTTTTTACTATTTACCTCATTAATTGAATCACTATTGTGAAGTCATTATATCCATGATAAAACTATCACTGGCTCAGTGGGTCTGAGTTTCTGTGTCAAAGCTTTTATAATTGATCCTTTTCAAGTGAATCTCTGAGACACGCAGTTTTATGTCTGATTTCGTGCAACAAACAACACATCCTTTGTTTGTCTACATCTCTGTTGTTTTTCGACATCTTTGGCCCACGGTGAACTTATTTGCAACAATGCTTTCGGGCACATCCTTTACTCACATTTTGATCTTTGCTTTGGGGTATTGAGTACCATTGCTGCCCCGTAAGAGTGTTGAGAATATTGCATATTATCACTTGCTAGCTTTTTGCTATGCTGATGCAGCAAGAAAACTCGAATTACGTATTGGCATGTCTTGTCAGGACATAATAGTGAAATTAAGGAAATATAGTTGTCATAGCTCTGCTTTAGCAAGATCTCTGGCTGCGAGAGTATGCGAGCAAATATCTGGAACCTCTCTGGCCATTTTCTTTCATTATCTCCAACCACATTGGCATCAATGATTCAAATGTTGCTATATTTTTAGTCAGCATGCACACTCTAGAGGTAGTAATTAATGGCCATCTTGTCATCCTTCCCATAATTGTGGTTGAAAATGATTCCTCAAATGCTCTTGGTTCGATCTTGTGCCCTCACCTCCATGGACATTGAACTTCAACATTAACAAGCTCCACCTAGCTATTGGAAAATTCCTGTTCATTACTTTCCACCATGTCCTCCATTGTGCTAACGAGGCAGGGAACTATTTTGCAGAGTGAAGTGCTGGGGTTGGGGAAGAGTTATCTTTATTCCTGTAATTTGTTATTTGTTTCTCTTTCCCTACACCCCTTCTGCTTTCTTTGATTCTCTTTCGTAAATAAAATGATCTCTTCTCTTCTGTAACAGATTAAGCTCACTTAAATTTCAAAATCTATGTTTCAGCACTGCACAAATAATGAAGGTGATGCTTTGCCTCTGTCTACTCATCACCTCTATTTTGGGATGTTGGTTGCAGCACTTGTCTCTGGAGTAGCAATAGGATTTGCCAATCCTGGCCTTGGTTGTCTTGCTGATAAATATTATCTATCGAAATTTAGCACCTTCGGAATATTTATAATTTCAGGTTTGGTTTTCTAATGTATTAAATTTATGATTTTTTTTTGTCAATGTTGCATCATAGTGCTTACAGAGTTTCTGTAGTTCAGCTAATATTTAGTTTAATTATACAGGATTAATGTTGCGCAGTGATGACATTGGTGCAGCAGCAGAAGCATGGCCAGTTGGACTTTCTGGGCTAGTATGACCTTGAATCACTCTTGCTCCAAAAATATTTGTCTATTTATTTATGTCTATTTAACAAAGGATTATATGGTGGAGGTGGGTGACAACTAATCTGCTAATACAATACAATTTAAAATGTCTGCAAATACTCAATTTAATGCATGGAATATATATACATCTTTTCTAATCTCTGGATGCTGTTTTGTCTTTAGTTACCTATAGACTGCAGCTTAACCCCATGGAGTAAAGATCCGCTGCAAGTGTCTACTACTTTCTTGTCTTAGAAAAATACACATTGATTGTTAAGATTGTTAATCTTTGTAAATCATCATCCATGGATCGCTATGTTGAAATATCAGTAACCACAGTTATCATCTCTTGTGTTCCTCATGCCATGCCACTGTGACGTTATAAGCTTCTCATTGATGCAGGCTTCTATTCTTTTTTTGACTCCCTTATTTTCAAAGATCATTATGCTACTCAAGCTCCAGCCACAAGAATTTGTCACAGGTTTGAAGAATGTGCTTTGTTGTGGCAATTCGTAGTTTCATGATTCACCTATATGCATCAAAATGAGAGGATTCCCAAATGGTTAACAGGTATTGGGTGAATATGTTTCTTTAAAATCTTTAGACCATTCTGTGGGGGTTCTAAATCTACTGAAGTGATAAAAAAGTTTATGTCCGTAGAAATCTTGATGATTAATTCTTTTTCGCACGTGAGGAAGAAATTTGTTTCTTTCTCCAGCCTCAGCACATGTGCCCTTGTATTGTAAAATGTCTCACGTTTGTTGTGTGCTTGGTTTTGCATAGAATGCACAACTCTACAACCTAGTTTGCATTACAGAGAAACTGTTCCGCCGAACCCTCTAAAATCTATCCATAAATGTATGCGTTTATTGCTTTGGTCTCTGTTGTGACTAGCATATCTTCTAATGCATAATTTGTGTTTCTCATTTATACAACCTCTCATATGGCAAATGTCTTTTTGAGAAACCCTCAATCTGGCTACCAAAAGCAAAGAAACTGGAATAAGAGGTTAAAAGAGAGAAATTTATTGTTGGGGATGTTTTGTTACTTTATTCTTTGCTTTTCTTTTTCTTATTATTCTTGCTTATCTAAATGAGTGGATTACAGATAATCAGTACACACACTCTCTCCCTCCAGTCCATATTTGACACATCTTTCCTCTTGTTTCTATAGGACTTGCTATTTTTAGTTGTATGCCAACAACATTATCTAGCGGAGTAGCATTAACTCGGGTAAAATTAATTTTATGAATTTTCAAATTCTGTCAATCCACTTAATCAGATGAGAAATAAAAGTTGCTACTATAATCTGATTGCTGCTTTGATTTGATTAACACAGCTGGCTGGAGGGAACTCTGCTCTTGCTCTAGCAATGACTGTAACATCAAATTTATTAGGAATTTTAATTGTAAGTTATTGAGCTGGATTATGTTGATGCTTAGGCATCTTTGTTGTGTGTTTTTGTCTCACTGGCATGATGCTCATGACTTATGATTGTACATGTTTGATATATCTTATATAATCATCATTTTTGTATATTTTAATATTTGAAGGGAATAAATTATCAGTAGAGACACTAATTTAAAATATAACTTTAACCACTTAAAGGTAAGAAGGATCTGCGGACTCACACTAATGATGTGTGATATTTACTTTTAGTTTGAAAAGCCAGGGATTGCTTCATTTTGCCTTGTGATTTTTTGTCCTGTTTTACTCCTAGTGCATGGCTTAATATTTACTATATGGCATTGTTTTGTCTATTTGTGTTATCTAGTGTCCATCCAAGCAAGATAATATCCACTTTTTAGGAATTGGTAGTGTAATATTACTAATTGGTACATGAGGTCATTAACTTATCTAGCCTGGTTGCAAAAAAAAAAAAGAATGTTGAAACCCAGTAAAGTTAATCTTCCTCTCATTGAACACTTTTAAACTTATTCTATGGTTTCAGTAGGTACATAATTAATCACTTACTTTGCTATAGCTATCATCTACTTTCTTCTAGTTAAAATCTATCATTTATCTATTTTGAAAGAACATTTACTCAAATAATAAGGATCTTGTTTCCTCATGCATATCCCTAAATTAATGAAATGCTTTTGCCTTTATGGTCCAGGGATACAAGCAATAATCTTCCCGATCAATACTCAATGAGTGTCAAGTATCTGTGGACCTTGTTAAATTAACTTATTTCAGAAATAGCATTGCCTAATGAACTCATAGTCCCAGTTTAAAATATATTATAAGTACTAAATTGTTAAAGTATCTAACTCAGTGTTGCATGGCAGATACCTTTTTCAGTTTCAAAATTTGTAGCTGCTGGGGTGGGAGTATCTGTTCCGGCCAAACAGCTACTGAGAAGCCTTGCGATCACACTTTTACTCCCCCTTATTTTGGGAAAGGTGCAGTGGGTTATTTGTTCTGTACTACTTTTGTGAAACAGTGTCCTCTTGATTTCCCCAATTCAGTGAACAGGATATATTTTTTCCAAAGGACCTTGTGTGAAAGTAGCGTATATTATGTCCTAAATTGATTTCTTAAAGATCATGATTGGCTGCTGTGAGATTGGAAAAATGACTGCTGATGAGTGATGGTCTGACCTACCTCGAAAGTGCAAACAGGATTCACCTGAGGCTCTTAAGTTTCTCACTTAAGTTCCTTTTTAGTTTGTCTGGGAAACAACTGGGATATGCGTCAGAGCAGTTCGTTTCATGTCTAGTCCTTCCTTGCATGTCTACATATTCTTGAAGCACTTGTTGGTCAAGAATAACCTTGTGCAAGTTCAAATGGTCTACCAATTTTTGTTTCCTCGAATGGTTTAACCGATCTCAATGTCATGGATGTTGTGATTTTGGGGTAATTTTCCCCTAATCTTTCTAGCAAAATAGATATGGTGAAAAAGGCTGAGAAAATTAAACCTGTAAAGTTATCAGCTTGCTGACTGGGTTTTCATGTGTCGCTCATGTGTGTGCATATTGCACGAGCCAGGCACACCCCACAGAAAAATAATAAATAAATAAATAAACATGTAACATTATCATCGAAGGGGTAATTTTATGATTTTCCAACATTCAATCTAAATGAGGACTCTACTTTTCTGTGGGTGCTGCAATTTAAAGGTGATCTGAGTATTAATTGTTTTTTCACTCATCTGTCTTTATCAACAGATTGCTCGAGAAGTTTCCAAAGGTGAGAAATCTCACAATGGCCTTTAATCTCTACTGTAATTCTGTTTCCCTTCTTCTTTCTAGCAGCAGAAATGCCTTTTTTCCTAATACATCATCCCTGCTCTTGAATTTTGGTCTGGATGTTGCAGGGATTGCAGAATTTGCAGATGGAAATCGTAAGCTGTTGGGGATGATTAGTGCCGTCCTCCTTAGTCTTGTAGGTCCCGCCACTGACTTTATTATCATGCTTATGTTTTCATCTTCCCTGAGACAACATTTCTGCATTATGTGAATTAGCTATTGTTATATTTTCTAGTATGTTTCTAGGTACTTTTTGGGCAGCATTGTATGAGTTCACTCATAATACATTGCTCAAGGTCTCTACTGGAAGAATCTTTTTGTGTTTAGTAAGTATTTATTCGGTTGCAGTCTTCTCAAGTAGTCCTGCAACTTTGCCTTCTAGGATAAATGTCTATTAGTTTAGTGAGAGATGGTAATAGGCAGAAGTGATGAACCAATTATGTCGATGTGGCGGAATTAACCAATGGAATAAAGCAGCGGATTAACAATAAATAAATGTAAGGATAGGCTTCAGATAGCCACCAAATAAGAATTAAGTTACATGCAGTGTAAGATCACTAGACCAAATAAATAGAATGTATGAGTATCACACCACCTATTTCTACGAGTTGATTGAGAGGCCACAAACCATGTGAACCATTCGAACATGACTCAATCATAGATTGAAAATGCACACAATGAATCACTTGACTTAAATTTACAGGTTCTGGGTTTATTTTGTGGAATCACTCAACTTAGGAAAAATGAGATTGAACTCAAAGCCAGGCTTGGTTGTGAATTGTGATCACTATGTGAAAGTTGGGTCAAATTCTGCTTTAGGGTGGAGGTGAAATGGCATCCAATGAGGTGGTTATCAAGATAAGTGGACACGGTTTTAATTAAGTTGAAGGGATATAAGAGTAAAGGTCTTGAGTGGGTTTAATGACTGATTGCATCATAGTGACACCTATATCGAATTTGTAAGAAGGTATTCATCATTCACATTAAGATTAAGAAGCTTTGCACACTTCACTGGGGAGAAGGTCCTTGCTAAAAATTGTCTATCAGAAATAATCATCGCATATACCAATTTTGAGTGCTTCAATGGTATACATCATTATGCATTTTTGTTGACATTTTTTTTTTTTTTATCTTAACTTGAATTTATATTCCTTGCTCCGTATGAAAGGTCCCCTGGATTCAAGTCAGCCGATCAAGGTCTCTTCTTTTAATGGTGAGGCCGACTATATTTTTTGGAGCAATCTTGATGGGAGCGTAAGTTTATCAAATTCTCATGCAATTCTTCTACTTCTCCCATGTAGCCTTCCATCTTATACTCGTACTAAAAGGTGGATTATGAGATTCTTTTGAACCAAAGCTTCCTCTATTCGAAGGAACTGCTTCAACTGATTCATGTTTCTGCTGTATTGCAGATTTCTACATCTTGCCCTTTTTACTTTCAATTCATTGCTTGTCCCGAATCTTTCCCTTATATCTGGAGGTAGCCAATCAGCATTTGCCAATAAGGAAAATACCCGTGCACTTCTACTAGTTGCAAGCCAGGTAATATATGTTTGTACATATGCCAGTTTTAAGTATTCTGAAAACCATGATGTTGCCGAAGACAGTCTGTTAGATAATAGAGAAAAAACATGTGTTTGTTTGTGGTTTGAAATATTTTTGGATGTTTTGGGGTGTTTTAGTTTCGAACCTTTTAAAGTGGAATATAATTGTTGGATACAATATTTTGAACGAAAAATATGTTTTAAATGAAATGTTTTGAATAAAAAAGTTGATGTTGGATATAGCGTTAAATTTTGTAATCGAAAATTATATTTTACCAAATCCTGCAATGTGCAAAGACAAACTTGAATATACAAATAAGCATATACCACAGTGTGTTTATATGTTGCAAGTGTTGTTGCTATAACTATTTTTACTATGTGTAGAAAACTTTGCCCGTGATGGTAGCAGTTGTCGAACAGCTTCAGGGTGCATTAGGCGAACCCGGTTTACTGGTTCTTCCATGCGTAGCAGCTCATCTCAATCAGGTTCTACACAAATTTATCCAAACCATCGTATGCACAGTTTTTGTTTTGGCTGAAATGAGTGGTTGTTTTGTAGATAGTAATCGACTCCTTCATTGTGAGTCTATGGAAGCAACAGGATGCGCGAATTGAAAATGCCAAGGCTGCGTAGAGCTTTTTTCTGAACTACATTGTGATGGTAAGTTGCAAATTTGATCACTATCTTGGTTGAAATCGATCTTTTCGTCGAGGTTAAGTGAAAAATCAATGGTTATGTGCAGTAATGTTGTATAGGAAGAGGACATAGATGAATAGGCAAGAATGCAGTATTGATCTGAAGGTGCTGCATTCATTTGCTGTGTTAACAAAATGCAGACTTGAGATAAAAAATTGTTGCGAAGAAGTATTAGATTAATATATTATGGCATAAATTAATTTATATGGAAAATAGTTATATTATTGGATATATGTATATTACTCCATATAATACGAAAAATGTATACTGATGTATATTAATCTAAAATGTAGACTTGAGAATAGATGGTTAGGATGTTGATGTTGTTGATCTGAATTACTTTTAATTAGCCGTTCACACAGGGTATCAATTTTTTACTCCAACTAGCCAATAATTGATTTTAGCATAAATTGTACTCCCATCTCATTTATTTTTTTGCTTGTTAGATCTTTAAATATTTATTATTATATTTAAAAATCATTAAAAAATTGTAAAAATATATTCATTAGTATATTATAATACTAATAGAAGGATATTTGTAAAAAAAAAAAAAAAAATATACAAATATAATAATATTGAGAATTGAATACATGTTTTATATTCTGTTAAACACATAAAACTATTAGTATCATCATATATCATATGACAAGGCATTTTAATTCGTGCATTCTCATAATTTTAGAGTTTTTATTTTTTTTTAAATAATAGGTTTAGATAATTAGTTAAGATTTGTTAGGATAATAACCAATATAGCAAAATTCAGATTTATCGAGATAATAAATAACCAAAATATGGATAAAATTAGAGTTTGTATATCTATTTATACCTTTGAGAGATATAAATCAAAATTGCTACAACAAAAATTATTATGAAAATTTTGTCTAATATTGCGCAGGTTAGGAAAAACGGCGGCTTCGTTAATCATTGGATCAATATGAAATTTTTAAAAAGTTTTCGTAATTCATTGCGTTTTTAATCAAACGGTGAGATTTTTTATTGGATATCTGTAGTTCAATCCAAAATTTACAGAATATGATATGTTTTTAGGATTTTTTTTTTATTTTGATTTTTTTAAATTGTAGTTTTTGTTGGTTGATTGAACGGTGATTGAGTGAGGTTATATGTATCTTTTAAAAACGCTTATATTTTAATTTGATTATAGTAAATTTTCTACTTTAGTAAGGACAACGTTTGGTTTTTTTTATCTTGGCTTTCCACTATTTATGCATATAATTTGTTATTGTTCAAAAGAAGTAAAAGATTTTTCACATAAAAACATATTATCTCTTTTATATATTATTTATGTATATGTCTTATCTTTCCTTAGTAAAAGTCTTATATACTAATTTTTTTTGTTTGATATATAAATTTTAAGTTACGGATATTTTTACTAATTATTTTTTTCTAGAAAAGTAGAAACAAGAAGAAAAAAAGTATAGTATTTTATTTGTTTGTTTGTTATATTTTATTTTATTATGTATAATAATAATATTAAGTTAATTTTAATATTCTATTAATCTATTTATTTTTATTCTTATTATGCATGTATTTTAGTAATTTATTTACTTCCGAGCATAATATTTTAATATATTTCATTATTATTGTATATGTATTTTTTAATATTATTTATTGTGTTATTCAAATTTGTATTCTTTAGAATTAAAAGAATATTTGAAGAAACCATAAAGAAAATTACAGTAAGTTTTAATATATATAGTTTATTTTTATTTTATTACTTTCATTCTTATTATGTATGTATTTTTTTAATATATATTGTGTTATTTTTATTTTTTACTAATTAATTTTTTAATTCATTCTTATTTAATATGTATTTTTAAATTGATTTGGTTTGGAATATTATATTAAAATATTTGTCCCCTAATCTTTTAGATTATATTTAAATTTTCAGTATTTTTATTTAAAAGAATATTAGACAAATTCATTCAGAAAATTAGGATAAATTTTAGTAATTCATAAAAACTCTATATTTATTTTAGTACTTTCATTCTTATTTAGTATGCATTTTTTATATGTTTTTTTGTTATTTTTATTTTTTACTAATCAATTCTTATTCTATATATATATTTTCTAATTAATTTAGTTTTGAATATTACTATTCTAATAATTTTTGTTTTTTCTAAAAAATTAAAACTATATTCAAATTTCGAGTAATTTGTTTTTAGTTTAATATGAATTGTTTTTACTTTTATTATGTGTAAATATATATAATTCATTTATACATATATACTATGAGAATATATTTATGTATTTATTTACGATTTAGTTTTGTCATATTAACAATATTTTTTTAAAAAAAATTATTTATATTTACTTTTTTTTAAGGTTTGTAGTATTATATTTATTATGATTACTTTGCTAATATTAAAGGCTGTAATTAAGGGATGCAGGCAATGATTTTTTTTATTAAATAAAAAATTTACATATATGTTACATGAATGAAACATATTGAAGTTCATATATTTTAAACTGATGTGTAATTATTATAAATATATACTTGTATAAATTCAATTCACAAAAATTATATGAATATAATGCAATGACGTAGTTGAAGCAATTTTAAGGTAATAACCATATATATATATATATGTTTATCACTATTTTACTTTTTCAACATTTATATATTTTATACATAACTTTCTATGCAATTTTGATGTAAATTTGACTATTAAAGATAATACCGAAAGTATGAATTAAACTTTATATCATAATTTTATTTATTTTTTTCGTTGTGAAAGGGTCACATTTATCTTTTGCGTCATTCTACTTAACATTATAAATATCATTATATTTGTATAGTTTTTGTTACAAATGTCCTTTTATTAGTATTATAAGACACTATAAGACACTAAAGAAAGTATTTTTACAATTTTTTAAAATTTGTATTACATTTTGATATAATAATTAATATTCAAAAGTCAACACACAAAAAATAAATGAAACCCTTAAAGCGATCACGCAAAAAATGAGACCCTTAAAGCGGGACAGAGGTAATATTTTATTTCATATATCTATAAAATTAAATATATTATATATATATATATATATTTTTAATCTATATAATTTTATGTTTATTAATTTTAACATATTAATATGTATTTTAAATATAATGATAGAAAAATAGTAGCATTATTATTATTATTATTATTATTATTATTATTATGTGAGTACGGTTCAAACTTTATAAAATGTGAGCTTATATATTTACATTATCTAATTCTTCTTCATATGCACAATCAAAGAATCTATTTATATTTTTTTACAATATTTTTCTTTATATTAAATTTATTAATATAAATATAATTTTATTGATTTACACAAATCGTGCAACGGTCACAACACTAGTAATTTATACAATAAATGATGTAATTATAATTCTGAAAGGATTATTCATATTTGGTGGTTAGAGCTAATATTGATATTGATAAGGAGATATGAGTATTATTAGTTCTATTGAGATGATTTATGTAAAAGTAGTTCCCTAAATAAATTTTACATTTACAATTGTAAATTCAATAGAAGATTAAGAAAAAAAAATGGTATTTAACATTTATATTCTATTTAAAAGAATGCATAATTTCTTTTAAGTTTTTATTTTTTTAAAAATATTGCAATACAAAATATTTTGATATCAAAAAATTATTTTCACGTTAATAATTTAAAATATAAAAAGAATAATAAAAAACACAACGAAATTAATGTTAAAAGAAATTTATCTAATATTTATTTGCACAATATTCAAAAATATTTCTTCAATATTTTTTCTACTTTTAAAAAATTTCAATTTTGAAGATTAAGTGTGATTAGTTATGCTTTCAAATCGAAATTAATATTACGTTTTTTTTTTTTAATAAAACTATAGTTTTTTTTTTTTTTTTTTACAAAATTTTATGTAAAAATAAAAGTTTAAATTAATATTCTATTCTAAATTAATTTCAAACCATAAATAAATAAATAAATCTTAAAGTTGTGTTTATTTGAAAGATTTGGGAGATATTGAAGATTTTATACTATTATTTTTTATTTTTCAAAAAGAAAAAGTTAAATTTGATATTAATTTAAATAACATTAATCCGAGCTAACAAATTAATATGGATTAAAGTATTGATTCACACAAAAGTAAGGATTCAAATAACATTGTTTCATTGGAACGCATGCAGAGTTGATTGAAACGAAGGGAGCATTTGAATATATTTATCAATTTTTTTTTATATTTTATCATTCAATAATATTAATATTTACTATTTTTTTAATGATAATAACTATTTAATAATTACGCAAATTATTTTTCAAAATATATATTAGTGTATATAATATACAATACCAACAAAAATAATTATTTAATTTTTTCTAATTTATTCTATATTTTTAGATGAATATATATTTTTATATTAAATATAAAGAATCGTATTAAATAATATAAAAATAATATTTTTTAATTAAATATTAACTTTTTTCGAGACGAATAGAATATATATATATTATATTATATTGTACTAATATATATATATATAATTTTTTTTATACTTATAAAGAATCGGAACACTCAAAAATAAATTGGGTGAAAAAAATCTTAATAACTATATACATATTTGTTAATATTTATATTTAATAGAATATAAAATATTTTGTAATGAAATAATACAAAAACTCAATTTATTATTACATATTTACAAATAATAATGTACAAATAAAATAATAATAATAATAATAATAATAATTTATTATTCATCCGTTACACGGGTAATAATATATATATATTTATATATATATATATCATACATATCTAAATATATATTATCTTAGGTATTATATTATTATATAATATATATATATATATATAACAGAGTTTAAAATATTAGCAATGATTAAGTTACAAGAAAACAAACTTTAAACATTAAAATATAAAGAAAATTTAATAATATATTACCTTCAATGATACGTTGCGTTGACTATTATGGTATATTTATTCGTTTAATGTTTTTATATTATATTAATATAAATATAACTTATTATTCTTTGTGCTATTTTTATTATAAGTGTTCTATTAACGTAGCTTAAAATATTAAATATTTAATTATATCATTTTAAATAATTAGTTAATTACTAGGATTTTACTAAAAATTAACTATTCATTTAAATTTTTATTTCAAAAATATTAAATTTTATTTCAAAAATATTAAATTTTATTTCTTATATTATATTAAAACTTAATTTTAGATTCAAAATATTACATTAACGCTTATTTATATCATATTATACAACTATTTCAATTTAAAATCTAAACTCCGAAACAAAAACACCCTTATCTTTTTATTATTTTTATTTATTCAATTTTCAAATATATATTTTTTATTTTAGTAAAAATAACAAATTACTAATATTAAAATATTATTAACTTCTACTTAAATTATAAATATAGTTACTTTATACATAAATAAAGGTCAAAATATTAAAATTATACACTAATCTAAATTTATTCTCTTTTTTGTTTATATAAATTTGTTCTCGTTTTATTTTTTAAGTAAAATATATATATATATATTTCACAAAAGAAGAAAAGGAAGTTTTATTTAGAAATATTTTTCTTAAGACCCGATCAAACATACATACTTTTCTTTAAAAAAAAAGAAAAATAATATTACGAACTCGAAAAAAATATACCTATGTCTGATTGTAAAAGTTTTATTTATTTATTTTTTGCGTTTTAATTTTTGAATATTAATTATTATATAAAAATATAATAAAAATTAAGAAAAAAAAGACAAAAATATTTCTATTTGTATCGTGTAATACTATTATAATGATATTTGTACAAAATAATTTTAAGTACAATAACACAAAAGATCTAAAAAAATATATTAGAATGTGACGAAGGGAGTATTATCCAAAAGCAAACAAACACATACTCGTAGGTTGTGTTTGGTACAGAGAATTAATGTCAGAGAAATGAAAATGGTCTCATTTCTCTTGTTGTTTTAGTCATATAAATGGAACTTTAGAAATAAATCATTTTAATTTCTCTCTTATACTCGGAAAAAAAATAGAGAGAAATGATATAAGCTGTATATATATTTTTAATTTTTTAAAATATTTTTTTGTACTATCTAATTTATATATATTTTTTAATATATTATTTTAATTTTACAAAAATCAAATTTAATTTATTGTTAAAGTATTTAAGTTTTACAAATTTTTAAGAAATTATACTAAAATATAGAACATCGTATATAATTTATAATTTTTTTTTAAAAAAAAATCACCAAAAGTACTTTCCATGAATTCTTATTCATTAAAACTTTTTTTTTTTATCTAATTAATCGTATATTCTTGTTTAATCCATTCGTATAACTGCAATTTTTTATACATTTGTTAATTGAATTTTTTATTTTATCAAACTGCGATAATTAATTATCATTCTCTATTCAATTTTATTTCTCTCCGATTATATTCTCTAATCTTATTTCTCTCCAATGTACGAAAACCCACCTTAAAGTTATCCAAAACCCAAACAAACACAAACCAAACTACTCTTAAAAGTAATACTCCACCATGTGTAAAGCGCAACCTTAGCTTTACTTCGTTCTGAGAAATTGAAAATGACGCAAATACTATTCCATCAATCCTTTCCATCTCTCTCTCTCTCTCCTGAACTGAACCTAACCTAATCCCCAAATCAGCAAGTGCAGCACTGCACTGCATTACTTGCGGCGGCGCCAATCTCAATAACAAATAACAACCTCACCATTGATTTGATTTGATTTGATTTGGATTTGATTTGATTTGACTTGATTTGGTTGAAGATTCAGCATCATTGGCCATCACATCACATGGACAACTGAGAATTACGCCAATCGCCAGTTACCGGTGGAGGTGCGATTTTCATTTCAAATTCGAATTCCTACTGTCTATTTCACAATTTCCTGCAAAAATTCGTTGAATTCATAGAAGAAGGGAAGGGAAGGGAAGGGAAGGGAAGGGAAGGGAAGGGAATGTTGGGTTTAGGTTTATCAGTGCTGATAGGCATTAAGGCTGCCGCGTTGTTCAGTTTCTTCCTCTCTCTCAGAAGCTATGGCTTCGTCTTGTTGTCGATGCCATTTCTATACTCCTCCTTCGTATCCCTCCTGATTGCAGCTGCCTCGCATCCGTCCATCAATCTGCCGATGCTTTTGGCAAAAGGCTCGGACGGAAGGTTCCCGGTGTGGTCGTTGGTGATGTTCTGTCCGTATTTGTATTTCGTGAGAGCATTTTCAGCTGTGAGAAGATATACGAGCGGGGAGGAACCGTACAGTGAGATTTGTGAAGGATTGTATGTGGGAGGATGGCCTTATTCGAGGGAGAAGCTTCCGCCGGGTAGGCCGGCGATTGTGGATTGCACCTGTGAGCTGCCGAGGAAGGAGGAGGTTGTAGGGAGTGCGTATTTGTGTGTGCCTACTTGGGACACGCGAGCGCCTCTGCCGAGCGAGATCGAGTCTGCGGTCAAGTGGGCTTGTCGGAAGAGAGCTCAGAACACACCTGTTTTCATCCACTGCGCCTATGGTATGATGCTCCTAACTCAAACAAACTTTTTTTTGCTTCAAGTAGGAAGGCATTAGTTTGTTTCATTTATTATATATATATTCGGTTCGGTTCGACTAAGTTTAAGTTCGTCTTCGAACGTGCTGAACTGAACAATACAAACGGGCTTGTTTTGTTAACGAATCTAAGTTTTGCTCGCGAACGATTGGTAAAATGATATAGTTGTTATATTTATATGTGGAAGTATTAATTAAAAAATAAATAAAATAAATTACTATGTCTATCCAAACGAGTTTGAATGAGCTCAAACGAGCTTAATAGAGTCGAATACAAACGCGAGCTCGAATAATGAAATTGTTTAATGAACCGAGTTCAAACACTACAAAGGAGCTCAAATGATTAACTTGAGTCTTGTTTGCAATCATTAATAAACGAACATAAACAGTTAAAATTTTTTTCGGTTTGACTCATTAATAATAATATATATATATATATTATGTGTTTGGAGTTTTGATAATTTTGTATTGAAATATTAGTTGGATGGAATGTTTTATATAGAAAATGGATTATGAATATAATGTTTCAAGAGAGAAATTCAAAGGTTTTTTTAATTTGGAATTTGGTTTTAGTGTTTTGATTACGGGTTTTAGTATGATTTGTGCTTTGGATGTGATCCTTTTGTAGAAGGAAGGTGTGTATTTTTAATTAAATCGTATAGACAGTATAGTATAGTAAAAGGATCAAGCCAAACTCACAAAGTAAACAAAATTTGTTGATAGTAAACATTTTGAGGTTAGTTATTTGTTGATAGGATAAATTTTGTGAGATGAAATTGTTTTTTTTTGGATTTATTTGTCGATAGTAAACATTTTAAATAGTCTAAAGATGAATTCAAAACACACAACTTTTGTGATTGTTTTGGATTAAATATCTTGTTTTAATGGGATTGTGTTTAGTATGTTTTGTGTTGTTTTAAATAGAAAATAGGTATTGGGTGTAATTTTGAATAGAAAATATGTGTTTGACATAATATCTTGAAATGGAAAATATGTTATAGATTTAATATTTTAAATAGAAAATATATATGTCGGGTTTTGGTTGTAGCTATTTGGAGGATGCAATTGTCTATCATTCATTGGTCTTGTAATTTCGAACTGCTTAAATTATCGAAATGGTTGAAAGGTTACACTATTATTGCTTAGGGACATAATTTTGTTGTCAAGTGGGTGAAAAACTAACAAAAGATGATCGAGGGTCAGATTTATTAGTTACTACTACATACTTTTAGCGAAATGAATGAACTGGTACTGCATTTTGTCAATTCAAACCGCTTAAATAGATGCAAGTGTTGAAGGATTCTGCTTTTGTTGTTTAGGGGCTTCCATTTTTGCATAGATTATTTTTCTGCATCTCCTTGAAAGTGAAGTCTTCCAAGTTTCCAACCTTTTCTGTCGTGCGCACACTTTCAAAACTCTCATTTTGTTTGTTGTTTTTCCGAACACTTGCCACTCCATTCAAAGGCAAATCTCTCACCAAGTGCACTCGAATGCTAATGACCAACAAGAATGTACATAAGGGATATTTGTTCCCTAGGTTTTCCGGACTTTATTTCTAGCAAGATAGTTGGTTTGTTTTTTACATATGTTGCCATGCCATTGTCAAATGCTACTTTGTGAACTGTTGAATCTGAGTATATGACGTAAGTGTGGAATCTTCTTTTTCAACTAATGAATTTAGATGGTGTTATTTTGCATAAAGGGTAGAGAGCTCGGTTAAAATTCCTAGTTCATCACGCTCAGATAAATTTCTACCAGCACTTTTTTGGTTATCTGTAGTTTGCTGGATTGATTTTCGAAAAATACAAAAACTACTACTCCTTTCGCCTATGTTGTAAATGTTTTCTGTATATCTGAAACCCTGTTAAAATCTGGTATCAATGACTTCTTTGCTTTAGTATGATATTATCTTCATTTGTCGCCCGTTCTCGAGCTTACATAGTTTGATACTGTCTTGATAACTCTGAAAAAAAAATTGGCACTTTAGGTCATGGACGAAGTGTTGCTGTGATGTGCGCGGTCTTGGTTGAACTTGGGTTGGCAGACGATTGGAAAAGCGCCGAGAAGCTTATTAGACAGAAACGGCCATACATCCGAATGAATGCTCTTCACCGCAAAGCCTTGGAAGAATGGTCAGAACATCGGCTATCCCCTCCGAACAAAAATGGTGCGAAATCTGTTACGAGTTCTATAATCTTGTGATCAATCGATCATTGTCTTTCAAGGATCATTAGATGGAGGATTGATATATACATACGTGATTGCTGCAGTGTACATTACTATCATTGTGTATCTTCGAAGCTTTTAAGGCAAAATTGTTTGTAACTCAAGCATAAGGGGTCCAGAGCCGTCGTTCTGTTGTTACGTTGATTATATTGTTTCTTATATATACGTTTCTCCGCTCATGTTTGATCAATTTTATTAAGTTAATATTTTTATATTGATTGAATATATTAGAATACATATTTTTATTGTTAATTATGTTCAAAATAATAAAGATATTTAATTTTCCGATTGATGAACAAACCAGAGAAAATATTTTGGAAAAAATTTGGTAACTGACTAACTGATCGAGAGATACAATAAGTTACTTAAAAGTGGGTCACAAAGTAGGCCTAATATTGGACATCGTCTCCTCTGCTCATCACCCCCCTCGCGTTGAGCGAAAGGGGCTTCGTGAGAATATCGGTTAATTGATCAATGATCACTGATGCGTGTATAGATGGGAACAATGAATTTGGAATCGCAGTAACGCTGGATGAAATGGCACGCAATGCCGATATATTTGGTTCGTTCATGAAAAACTGATTTCTCTGTTATGTGAATGACAGTCTGGTTGTCATAGTGAAAGAGGAATAGGAATAGGGATCTCAAGCTTCAAAGCATCGAAAATATAGAATAGCCATATTGCGGTACTCGGATTCCGCAGTAGATATGCTAACAGTTGATTGCTTCTTGACTTTCCAAGAAATTAAATTGGATCCAATAAATACACAATAGCCGGAAATAAATTTTCTGCTCTCCAAGCAGGAGCGACGAAGGTGAGATCAAGGCGAGAAAAGTTCAGGTAAAGCAACCTCCCAATGAGATGTTTATAGATCCCAGGATCCTCCAAAAAATATTAAAAATAATACTCCATCCACTCTGGAAGAAGAGTGTCATTTGTTTTTTGCACGTTAAGTTTTAAATATTTGTATTATATTAATTTGTAGTAAAAAAGATAAAAATAATTCTATTAGTATTGTGTAGTATAAAGATAATAATATTTTTGTAATATATTGTAAATTATAAAAATATTTATTATATTAGTTAAATTAATACAATTACTAAATTAAAAATATCACATTTGTTTTGGGTGAATAAAGATAAAAAATAACACTCTTATTACGAGAAGGGAAAAATAACTTTTACTAAAAAAAAACAAAAGCATTATTAGGTGGCATAAAAAATATAAAGAATAATAATTCATTTTATTTTTTAATTATATTTAAATAATAACCGCTCTATCAAACAAAAAATTATATTTCTTTAAAATTGAATAAAATATAATTAATCAATAATTAAAAAAATATTAATAAAAATAATTATTATATAATAAAAATAATAGTACATTAAAATTAAAAATAATGGATCAAAACAAGGTTTTTTTTTATTTTATTTTATCTAAAAGAGATGAATTATATATACATTATGCATTTTCTGGCTGATGACTTTGACCATCACTTTTCTCCTTTCTAAATTAAAAGAAAAAAGAAAAAAAGAAAAAAAAAACTCTGAGTCAGAAATTTCAGAGTGACTTCCGTGGTAATGACGTGGCAAAGATCTTATCCAAACAGGTCATCAATTTCGATGCAACACGTGTCGACTCATGATTCGTCCACGTACAGCTTGAATGTTAGTATAACAGTGGCGGAGCCGAGCCGTCAAATATAAGAAGAAAGGCCAAGCCGGCTGGAAAGCCAAGCCAATCCAATCCAATTGAGTGGGCGGTTGCCGACATGCCACTTCACTAATTAGCGGGGCCTTTGGTTCAGTGCACCCACCGCAATTGCAAATATATACTCGTTCTTATTTCAATTAATATATTTGGGTAATTTCAACCTATTTAAAATACTCCGTAAACCGTAGATACTAGAATTTAGATAAAATATAATTAATAAATAACTAAAAGTATATTAGTAAAAATAATTATTATTTAGTAAAAATAATTATAGATTAAGATTAAAATAAATAAATAGTTTAATTAAAATTTAAAAAATTATAAAATTTAAAATTTAAAATACTATTAAAATGCATAATTATATTTCCAAAAATAGAAAAGACAAATTATGTGGAACGAACAAAAATAGAAAATACGGATAAATTATGTGGGAAGGAGAGAGTAATATTCTCTCCGTCTCAATATAATAGTCTTATTTACCATTTTTGTTCGTTTTAAAACAATAATTTCATTTTCATAAATAATCATATCACCATAAAATTATTCATATTTTTTCATTATTATTACCCAATTGTTACTACTTTTTTCATTAATATACTCACAGAGACAAAAAAGTCATTTACTTTAATTTTTTATCAACTACCAATATAATATAAATATTTTTTAAATCTCATGCCTAACACAATAAAACTATATTTTTGGGACGGAGGGAGTAAAAATTTAGTAACTTAATCCTAATAAGTTATACTGTTATTTTATTGTGAGTAAATTGTATAATACCTTTTATATTTTAGTATAGATATATTCTCTCCATCGTAATAAAGTTATGTTGTTTTTTTTATTTTTGTCTCTTTTAAAATAAATGTCTTTGTTTTTTTTATTTAGTCTCTATTTTATAATAAAATTATTCATATTTTTTCAAATTATTCATAATTATTATTCTTATCTATTTTTTAAAATTAAAAGCACATGTATTTTAGTCTTTTATTTTTTATTTTATATTCACTTTCAATTAAATATTATTATTACTTAACTCACGTGCCATTCTCTTTTCCTGGAATGGAGAGAGTACAAAATATTTAATAATATTTTATGTAGTACGTAAAATTTCTGTGTTAAAATTAAAATATACAAAAAATATTTTCTTTATTCAAAGCTCATTTTTATTTGTAAATCACATCTAATTATGCAAATTATATATATAAAAAAATGTCAAATATTTTAAATAATCTTATTTGAATAAAAATAATATAGTAATAAATAATTGATCAATCTTTTTTTTTTCTTTTGTAAAAATTAGGTAATATTTTGTCTCCAAAAAAACTATTAAATGAATGATTGATAAATTATTTATTAATTTTATTAAAATAATACTATTAAAGATATTTATATTTTTTAATTATATAAAATTTGTATAATTAAGTACGTGTTTATAACTAAACATCAACTTTAGACAAAAAAAATATATTATGTGCAAATTTTTATTTAACACAAGTAGTCTAACGCAATAAATAAAATACCATTTTAAATAAATAAAACAAAATGGTATTATATAATTTATCATTTTTTCTTTATGTAAATTATAGCGTTGATATTTTTAGAATAAAAATTAATATATATAATTTAAAAATATAACATATATATTTAAATATTTTAAAAATTATATATAAATAAAATATATATAATATGAATATTATTTTATAGAAAATAAAAATTTATATAATGCAAATAAATAATATATATAATTAACATAAATTAATTTTATAAAAAATAAAAAATGTAAATATAGATAAAAAAATACTATTTGTTTATTGAAAAATTATAAAAATAAATTATTTTGAGTGATCCTTTATATATATATTATAAAATTAATTAAGTTAATTTATATTTATTAAACTTGGTTTGAATAAGTTAAATTTATTCAAAATTATATGTAAAAAAAAAACGTGTTAATTGGCATATATATATATATTTTGATATATCTATCTGTATTATATATATAGATATAGATAGATAGATACTGGAATAGTGCAAATCATACGTGGCTATTGAGTTTGATTTTAAACCAGCGCATAAAATAGTTTTTGTACAATAAAATCTAGTTTAAAGTTACCTTCATTTCAAAAATATGTTTTAATATATAAGTTTATGATATTAATTTATAGGGATAAAAAAATTTCATATACTCCCATTTAAATCTTATAATTTTTCATTTTTGTCCCTCCCAAAACAAGGTTATCTTTTCCTAATTTAGTAATTGTACTATCTACCTAACATAATAAATACTCTTTCAACTTACACTATATTACACAAATGCTATTACTTTATATTACACAATACTAATAAGGATATTTTCGTCTTTTTCATTACAACATATTATAATACTAATATTAAAAAATTTACGTGAAAAAAATAAATGGCAACCTTGCATTGAGAGGAAGGGTGTATATGAATTAAATACAAATATTGAAATGTCTCAAATTTAAAATGACCTATATTTAGCTCGATGACTCCACCGTTTAGGACAATTTCTCTTTATTTTATTTTTTTTTTTAAATAAAATTTGAGGGTCCAACGGCAAATATATAGTACTATCATGTAAAAACTATTACTTTTTTTTTTTTGTTTGTTTTTTAATAGTAGATCCCACAATTAAATCTATATAATATAATTCACATATAATAATAATAATAATAATAATAATAATAATATTTTTTTTCACTTTATTATTACGGATAATTGGGTTTAAATCCCTTCCTGCATAATTATCTTTAAATTCAGTCCCTATTTTAAATCTCTGCACTCCCTTCTTTATCGTGTTGTTTACCCTCTCCTCCCCCTCTCACCCAAACTACTGCAATATCTCGAAATTCATCGTTTTCTTCGCGCAAAATCGGAGAGGAAAAAATCGACAACTGCAAAATCGAATTGGCCATTTGCTTGCCCATGATTTTCCGATCTTGAAGACCCACCCATTCTCCAGTTGCAGATCTCCCTCTTTCCTTCAAAATTGATGTTGCCATCCAGTCGGTTGCGCTATGTATCCGACAAGAATCGACACACCTTAGAGTTTTCTAAGGTTAGTGATATATTTGGAATGTGTTGTGCTGACGCAGATATCTCAGTCCTATTGTTAACAGAGAAGCACGCTCAAATCTTGAAGAAGAAGGAAATCGGTGGAAAAGAGTAAGCTATTAGATTTTGCGATAAAAATCATGTTCTATTTTAGGATACTGTCGGGATTTAAACAACGCAAAATCCGATCTTACATATTGTAGCTTCAGAAGTGCCTCCAACAAGGTTTTCTTCTACTATTTTTCTGTTTTCCTTTGTTTTTTATATAACTCTGTGGAGCTTCCATCGGGCTTTTGATGCAATTGGTTGAAGTCGATTGAAGGTACTCCATCATTTTGGACTGAATAGTTATATGTCGAATCGATGCAAACCAACTCTCCCTAAAACAAAACTCAATTTTATTCGAACTCATTACCTGCAATAAAACTTTATTAACATATAATGTGTATTTTTATGAATCTTAAATTTGTTCTAAAAGTGTTGGTGGCCACTTTTTTGGTGCATGTGTTACACTAAATTCATTTTGATTTTGTTCTTTCTCTACGAATCACCGTCACCAACGAGAGAAACCAAAATGCAGCGCAAATTTATCCTCCACTATTCCCGAGTTCCAATCTCCATTGCCAAAGAAGAATCCAATTCTACTTCTTGTCTTGCAGGCTTTGCTTATTTACTTTGTAGTTGAACTTCTTTGTTTCGATTAAGTAAGTTGTTATCTTCTGCTATATGTCTGAAGTGGTTTCGGCTTGGATATTGAATTCTTGCGTTCGATTGTAACAAATGTGATTTGATCGATGTCTGCCAGATGTTTGGTCAACGTGTATTTAACCGTTGTTCTTCGTTTATTTAGCTTCTACTTGTTGTTGTCGTGGTGGTAGTGGTTGTTTTAACTTGTAGTATGGAGGAGATGGTGCGCCGCCCACCCTCTTTCCTTCTATTTTTAGCCATAATTTTTAATGATTAGATTTGGAATTAAAGTGCAATATTCGTAACAGAATGCAGTTGCTCGCAGATAAAAGATCTTACTAGCTTGAGTTATTGGCTGAATTGGAGAGTGTTGTCCTGTGTAGTATGGGTCCTCACGCCTATGATTATAGTAGTACTGCTTATTTGGAAATATGAACATTCAGAAGATGTACTAGGTATGTTATATGTTTTATAGAATGTAAGAGATGTTGTTACTAAAAGACGATACAATTGGTGTAAGTTTTGATTGCACACATAAATCCATGCCTTTATTTTTGTTTTATATAGACGTTTGCTTTTTTCAATTGTTAGTTGATCATCATTGGCTAAGCAAGACCCTATTTTGCTATGAATATATGATTCGTAATTGTAACATTGTAGATAAGCTCTGTCATTGTAACATATATGATAATCTCGGTAACACTATCATGATGAATTCATCTATGGTTATTGTCAACAAGTGAATATTTTGAATCGAAGATGGTCGGTTTCCCAAACACAAGTTACTAGGGCATATGTACACTTTATAGAAGCATATGACAATATTATTATAAGTTTGTAAGATTTGCGTTAGGCTATATCGGTATTTGATGCAGGTATATAAGTAGGTGCTTTGGGTACAAACACTGACATTTAAGGTATAAATGATGGTTGCTTAGGTATTATCTGTGTAGTAGCATATATCCTTGAGTGTGGTCGATTTCAGTCAACCCCCTGATGGAGAAGACAATTACCAGATCAGTGATTTTCTCTATTAACCCCGCTGGAAATTGGTTAAAGCTAGATACGATTGTTGTAGAGGTGTAATTTTATATTTTTATAGGATGGTCGTCAATCCTTTCATTATAATTATTTTTGATGTGCTAGACATAATGTAATATTGTATATAAATATACAACAATAAGAGTATTGCATTGATGCTATTTTTAAAATTTGATGTAATGTGGTAGATGAATGAGAATTACGGGTATGTGATGATGATCTTTTATATATGACTCGTTGACGATAGATGTTTCTTAAAATGTAACGCAGGTGCACAAATTGTGGGGGTCAGTATTTTGTTTATTTTGAAGAATATATAGTTGGTGTCACGAAACACATGGGTTTGTAGCGTATTATCCATTTAAAAATTATAGTAAATTGATGTTAATTAATTTTCTAAATGGCAAAAAGTAAGTAGTATATTGTGTTGCAATCGTTAGACCCATACTAAAAGGGTATCGAGCTCACTTTATGTCATTGAGTACACTGAAACGAGCATTCATTTAAAGTATGCAGGTACACAATTATCCACCTATGTCATAATGTTATATTTTTTATTTACATGAAAGCAGTGCCCGGGTACATAATTTGATAAGAATTGGTACATTAAAATCAATAGGGGGTACATCGGAGCTATGCTGAAGTACTTACCAGCTCAACCAAGTTATACTTCTTTGAAATGTTTCTGGCTAATTGATATTGAGTTTATAAGTGTGCAGTAGTTTGAATTATTATGTCATGGGTCAAAATATTTTAGACAAGATGTGTTTGTCCTATTATGCAAAAAACACTTGAAGTCCTAATAGTAGATTACAACTAGCGTTTTCACTTGAATGTTGTTGTGTGTGCTACGATGTAGATTACTATGTAATAAGTCCAAAGATTTTCAATTTGTGACAAAAATCATGTATTCTAACAACTAATATTAATTTAACTTAGTCATTTATAACTTGTTTAGTCATCTACAAGTGGAAGTTAGAGTATAATTCTACATATATCATACAATATAATTAAGTCATTTTTTTACTTGTTTAGCCATCTATAGTAAATATGTTTTTTTTTATCTCTTTTTGTAATTCAGAGTGTTATGGAAATACTATCACAATGAATTCATCCCTGATTACCGACAATAAATGAATATTTTGAACAAAAAATGGTCGGTTACCTAAGCACAGGTTACCAGGGTATATATACCCGATATTGAAGCATGTGATACCAACATTATCGGTACGTAAGATCTGCGTTAGGGCATATCGGTATTTGATGCAGGTATGTTAGCATGTACTCCGGGTACAAACACCAACATTCAAGGTATAAATAATGTTGCTTAGGTATTATCTGTGTAGTAGCAGATATTCGTGAATGTGCTTGATTGCAGTTGATCCTCTTATGTAGGGGCCAATTCACGAACTCGGTGTGAGTACTTCTTCTCTTAGCCCCGATGGAAAAATTTGGGCATAGTACGTTTACATTCGACATCACATGCCCACACTTTTCAATGGCAAGACAATAAAGCATGTACAAGTAACAACCAACATAGTTTAACTAAGTCCTTTATGACTTGTTCAGTCATCCACAATAAATATGTATTGTTTATCTTTACATAGAGTTCTAGGATTCATAGGAATACTATAATGATACAGTCATCCTTGATTACTGACAATAATTGAATGTTTCAAACAAAGAACGGTCTGTTTCCGAAACACAAGTTACCAGGGCATAGATACTTAATGGAAAAATTGGGCATAATACATTTACATTCAACAGCTTATGCCATATTTTTCAATAGCGTGATTACAAAGCATGTAACGTTATTCAATGGGTGTAATATAATTACTTTATGCGTCAATAGGATATAACCGGTTGGATCCGCTGGCATATTTTACTATAGTAAGTGGTATGTAACTCTATTACACAAGTATATAATGAAATAGTAGAGGTTTGTATATATATTCTGCAGGTATATTACTAATGTACTGAGGTATTTGATGATGTAACTCTATAAGAAAGAATGATAAATATAATATCCTGTTATTTCCACGGTATTTGAATTATATTATTGGGTAATCATTTGGAGTTCTAATAGTTAATTAAAACCCGTTGTTGTTGCTAAGTACAACCATTCCCTATATAGCACAACTAAACACCAAATTTCCACATGCAACACAATTACATTGTTCATCTAATATGCGTTTCTTCATTTTCTCTACTTCGTTATGAAAACATGGTACTGAAAATCGGATGATAACCTATTTGTATTCTTTCCCCAGTTTGTAAATAAATATCACTAGTTCACATTACCGAACACTCAAACAAAAATACTAAAATATGCAACTTCGGGTAACTAAACAAAATGTACATCTAAAAAATTAACAAAAATCACAAACTAAATAAATAAAATAATCCAAAATCAGTGCCAAAATAAAACACCCAACTCAGTGTATCTGGGCAAATATACGAACGATTTCTAATCCGATTAACAAATAAAACTACACCGATCACTTAGGGCTTCTCAACACCAAACCAATGCATACAAACACGGGACCAAGACTTACACCTCAAATAATCGAACAAACTACGGTATAATATCAAGTTCAACAAATCAAAACTTGAAAAAGGCCCAACCTGGCACTTACTTCTTCGAGCTTGTCTTGGGGGATGGGAGCGGTGAGCTGTTTTTTTCACATTTTTGCACCGAATTGGTTGTTACTTGATTGCCGGAGGTTCGAGAGCATCGGTTTGCCTAGAGATTGAAGAAAATGGGTTTAAAATCGGTGTGAGGGGAGTTATGAGAGGTTTCCTGCCTTTACCCCTATTAAATTGTGAATTAATTTTATTTTCTTTAATTCACAAAAAGAAAAGGTACTCGATTTTAACTAGAAGTATATAAGGTTACAATAGGGGTAGAGCGGGAAGTAATATAGGTATATATTACAACATTTGAAGTATTGATCAACCTATTTCGAGTACATGTTGCGTATACAACGGTGATTGAGGGAAAAATACATATTGGAGAGCTATAACAAACATAATTCATAAAGTAGGAATTGCAGACTAACTAATTTCTAATAGAAACTGAATTGCAAGTGTATTTGTCTGACAGGGATTTTAATTTAACTTTCCCTTATTATTATTTCATTATATTATTTTAAAGAGAACAACATGATCATCATACAAAATATAATATCCAAACTATCTAATTTGGTGGTGTTGTAAAAAAATTATAATAAATATAAACAGTAAAAATAAAATTTATATACAATTAAAATTATATAAAATTAAAATCATACTTTAAAATATTGTAATACAATTTAATTATAAGAAAGAATACTTAGAATTTAATATAATTCACTTTATGTCTATTTTAAATAAGAAAATAAAAAATCTAAAACTAATTTGTTTGGGTTTGTATTTCAAATCTTTTTTTTTTCAACACACTTGCCAATAAAAAAATATTATTATTTATTTTTTTATAAAATATCAAATTAAAATATTATTTAATTAAATTCAAATAAAAAATTCAAAATCAAATGCAAATTTAAATATAACTGATTTATATCACTATTATGAATAACATAATTTTGATGTCTTAACTATGACGAAAGAACTATATATGTGATTACTTTTTTAGTTATAATTTGATAAAAATTGAATAACCACAACTACACACCACAAAAATAGTTTTGAGTGAACAACGACTACACTCATTCAAGTATTTATTTAAAATTACTGGTGTACAAAAAGATGAGATAAGAGAGCTCGTCTAAGATCTCAAAGAATCTAAAGTGAAGTACAACACATGAATCAACTAAAGGAAAGCATTATGTTCACGAGTGAATATTATGTAGTAAGAGAACTTGAACGATACAACCATGGGTGGTAAGTAGACCACCACCACCATCTGTGCTTTCCTTAACCTTGCACACCAAATTGAGTTATCTAGTCATCTTACTAGTAGTAATAACCTGTGTAAGGGAAGGATAGGAAGAAAACATAGTAGAATAAAATAGAGAAGATAATAAAAAGTGAAAGTGAAAGAATATCGATTCAAAGATTGATTAAGGTGAGAGAGAGGCGTAATGGAGCGTTGCGATTCAAGTAATCGCTAAAAGAATAAATGCTAAGTGTGTGTATGAGAGCGTATGAATGAGAGTGAAGATGATGGCGAAGGGTGCAGGTCATGGAAATGCGTGGAAGACGTCGATGATAAAGATGATAGAATCGGCTAGGGAATACTCTTCATATATATACATCAATACGTATATATATATGTGTGTGTGTGGTCAGGCCCACAAGTAAGAGCATATAAACCTGTTTAGCCCAACAACCTTTAGGCCCAAGTGTGAATATTGTCCAATTGTTAACACTTCTCCTCACGTGAAAGACTGTTATTAGCAACCTGAACCATATTGAATAAGTTATTAAGTTATTAGTAACCTGAACCTAAACCTTTAGGCCCAAGTGTGAATATTGTCCAATTGTTAACACTTCTCCTCACTATCCAAGTTTTTTATGAGTAAATCAACATGTTGGATATCATAAGAAATGAAATGCGTTGAGATGGTCCATTTGGAAATGTAATCCCTCACCATATAACAGTCAATCTCGATGTGCTTAGATCTTTCATGAAAAATTGGGGTAGCAGCAATTTGTAAAGCATAATTGTTATCAAAAAATAATTCAATTGCACTATCATGAGATATATGCAAATCTCGGAGCATGCCAACGATCCATGTTATTTCAGTACAGGTTTGTGCCATTGTCCTATACTCAGCCTCAGTTGAGGACCTAGAAACAATGGACTATTTTTTACTCTTGAAAGAGGCTAAGGAGTCTCCGAGAAACACATAAACCCTATTACCGATTTCTCAAAATTGGATAGGACGTCTAATCTGAGTCACAACAGGCTTTAAGAAGCAACTTATCGCCTCTGGAGAACAACAGTCCTTGCCCATGACAACCCTTCAAGTATTTCAGGACTTTGAAAACAACATGCAAATTAGATTCCTTAGGCTTGTGGATAAATTGACTCAAGACTCGAACATAAAATGATATATTAGGTCTAGTTAAAGTAAGGTAAATCAACTTACTAACCAACTGTTGATATACAACAATCAAGCTTCAAATGTTGCTCCATGGGAATCAAGGATGGGTTGTAGGCCAACAACCCAAACTCAGAAATTAGTTCAAGGGTGTATTTTTGTTGAGATAAAACAATTCCTTTATCACACCTGAAAGCTTATATTCCCAAAAAGTAGTTGACAATGCCTAGCTCTTTAATTTTAAATTTATTATTAAGAAATCTCTTGAACTAATCAATTGTCAACATCATTTCCAGTAACAAGAATATTATCAACATAAACTAAAACTATAGCAATCAAATTACCTTCAGCTTTGACAAACAAGGAGTAATTATGAAGTGACTGTTTGAAGCCGAATTCAATCATCGCTGATTTCAACTTCTTATTCCACTGCCTTGGGGCTTGTTTCAGCCTATATAAGGACTTCTTTAAAAGACAATATTTATTTTGAAACATCTCTGGATATCGCTCAAGGGGAACCATATATACATTCTCATAAAGATCACCATGTAGGAAGACATTATTAACATCTAATTGAAAGATTTCCCAATCTCGACTAACATCAATAGAAAGAACACAACGGACAGTTGACATTTTGACAACGGGAGAAAATGTCTCATGAGAATCTATGCCTTTTTTTCAACTAAATTCCTCTGCAAATAATCTAGCTTTGTATCGCTCGATTGTTCCGTCGGAGTTATATTTAATTTTTAACACCCATCTAAAAGCAACAGAATTTTTATCATGAGGCATATCTGTGAGGACCCAAGGTTTGAATCAACTAGGGCTTTCATTTCAAGTTCCATAACCTCTTTCACTTGGGATCAATGATGCCTTCCTTGAAAATTTGTGGCTTAACTAATTTGTCAAGATTAGCGAACATGCACAAGTTCTCACGGGACAGACTACTAAGAAGGCAAAATATGTCACTTAGTGGATATTTAACTGTAGCACTACCTATTGAGACTTGGTAATCATGTAAATAAGAGGGTGGAAAACATTTTCTATTAGAGTGGCGTTTGTTAGGGTGTACCTCAAATATCTCATGAGTTGTTTATGTGAGGTGTTTGGGTTCACAGACTGTATTTATGTTGCTATCATTGGTCACACTCGGTTGTTGATTCAAGTAAGATTCTTGAAAAACCATCCAGAGGTGTTGCTACACAATTTCCTTCGCGAATGTCAAAGAAATCATCATAGGCACTATTAATAGGGCTAGACTTAGGTAGAGACAGATGTGAGTAAACTTTGGAACCAATAGAATGACAACGACTTTCAAACATGAAAGCTCTAGCAATATTTAGAATGTTCGTATGTTTACATTCAACAACACCATTTTGTTGAGGACTATAGGTACATTAAGTTTGATGCACTGTACCAAAATTACCAAACATATCAGCAAGACGAGAATTTAGAAACTCTGTTCCATTTTCAGACCTAAAAATTTTGATAATTTAATCAAACTGATTTATAATAAGTAAGAAATTGTTTCAGGAACGTGAAAACCTTATACTTACTCTCTATGAGGAAGACCCAAGTAGCATGTGAAAAATCATTTACAAGTGTTAAGAAGTACTTAAAACTATCTTTTGTTTTAGTGTGATACGGAACCCAAACATCACCATGCATAAGGGTAAATAAAATTTTTTACTTATGTGAGCTTGGAGGAAATGGTATTATAATTTATTTTGCCATATAAAAAATATTAAAAACTAGTTTTGAAGTGTTAGAAAGATCAATATCTGACTTAAGCATATCAGACACCTCCAAGGAAGGATGTCGAAGGTGAATATGCCATAAGATATAGTTTTTGTCCATTCCGATTGGAGTTGGGACACGACACAGAGGATACTTGGGGGTTGTGTATTATATATAGAACCCCACAGTATTTCGAAGAGCCTATGACACTTCCTTCTATAGTACTTTGAATAACACAAACATCATTTAAAAAATTTACAGCTACAACACCTAGTTAAACAAGTTTCCCAACACACAATAGATTCAAAGTGAAATTAGGGACAACTAAGACATCTTCTAACATGATATTATTGTTCAAACATATGTTTCCATACTCAACTACTATTGTATATTTTCATGTAGGAAGATTAACACGTATAGACCCATTCTTGACAGGTCTAACATCAAACAATACATTTTTATTGGCTACCAAATGATTTGTAGCCTCTGAATCTACGATCCAATTCCTAGAAAACTTGAATTAGACAAATGAGGTGCTGACATGCCTGCCATATTGAGCTGGGGCAAGTCCAAGATTTTTTTTCCTTGTAACAAGCTAATCAATTTATCACAACCTTTAGAAGTTAAAGACATTTTTGAAGAAGTTAAAATAGGTTCAATATTCACACCTTCAACAGATGAGGCATTAGCAACAGTAGAGGCAATTTTAATAGCTCTAAAAGTCTTTTTTTTTTTTTTTTTTTTTATCTAGATAGCCTATTAATTGATAACATCTTTCAATCAAATGGCCAGTACGACCACAATATAAACATGTAAGAGTTGGATTTTCCACATTAGATCTTATAGCTCTTTTTGCAGCAAAAACTGTTATATTTTTAGAAAAAGTTGTTTCACCATATATTTGATTATGAGACTCTTCCTGACTTACTATGTTAAAAGCTTCCATAATAGTTGGATGTGGATTCATAGGAAGTATGGTACTCCTAACAACTAAAAATCTATCACTTAAGTCCACGAGCAAACTCAACATTTAGCATTACACACACAAGGATCAACTGCCTTAATGGCAGTTGCATGATCCCATAGTCGTTTCAACTTTTTATAGTAGGTGTCAACATTGTCATTCCCTTACTTACAATTTGCAATTTTTTTTTTTAAAACTTCATATATATATTGGTACTACTATTTTTCTCATAAGTGTTCTTTAGTTGCCTTAAAATATCTGATGCATTGTACAAAACAAAAGATAGGTATATATTGATTTATTAACATAGTTTAGCAATCAGGACGTGAGAATAACATCACACATATACAATTTTCCAACAAGTTCAAGATCAGTAGGAATATGAACATTGCATTCTACAAAGTTAAACTTATTTTTTCCTTTCAAAGCAATCATTATAGAACTATTCCAAATAACGTAATTCTCATAACTATATTGAGTTACACAGGAAATTAAAGACGTGCTTGATGAATTTGATGGATGCAGATATAGAGAATCTAGGTAGTTTTAGCTAATAAGCAAAGGATTAAAAGACATACCGGAGGCATGACTGGTGAGTTTAGTTATGCTAAGGAAAGAGAAAACAAGACAATCGAAGCAAGTAGAAACTTACCTTAGGACTTTTACTTACCACAAACAGGGAGAAGAATCGAAGAACAACACCTGAGAATAAGAATGAAGGTGTTAGCAAACCTCTGATATACCATGATAAAAATTGAAGAACCAGAGATACAAACTAAAAATAGTTTGGAGTGAGCAACATCTACACTCATTCAAGTATTTATTTGAAATCACTGGTGTACAAAGAGACTAGTTAAGTAGAACTTGTCTAAGATCTCAAATGATCTAAAGTGAGTTACAACACATAAATAAACCAAAGAAACACACTATGTTCATAAAGAAACATTATTAACCAAAACTAGATTTAATCAAGTCATAAAACAGTAAGAGACCTTGAATGATACAAGCATGGGTGGTTACAGAACCAACAAGCAGACCACCACTACCACTGGTTCTTTACTTAACTGTGAATACAAAGAGTAGAGATTGAGTTATGCAGTCACCTTACCAACAACAATTAACCTGTGTAAGGGAAGAAAATGGAGAAAACAAAGTAGAATATAAGAGAGAAGATGATAGCGAATGAAAGTGATAAAATATCAATTACAAGATTAATTAAGGTGAGAGAGAGGCGTAATGGAGTGTTGCGATTCAAGTAATCGCTAGAAGAATAAGTGCTGCGTATGTGTATGTGAGTGAAAATGATGGCGAACGATGCACAATGCGTGGTGATGAAAGTGTGTGGAAGACGTCGATGATGAAGATGATAGAATTAGCTAAGGCACACCCTTCATATATATATATATATGTATATATGCATATATATGTGTGTCTGTGGTCAAGCCCATAAGTAAATAGCATATAAACCTGTTTGGCCCAACAACCCTTAGGCCCAAGCATTAATATTGTCCAATTGTTAATGTAATACAAATTTATTGATTTCAATCTCAAATGTAATATCTTTTAGCACAAAATGGCCATGTTTTCTACGTGGTTTATATGTTTTAATTAAGATTAAGTTCGAATATACATATTTCATTTAGATTTAATTAGATCCAAATTAAGTTATTCATAGAATCTTTCATATTATTTATTTTATTTTAAAAAATTAAAATATATTATACTAATACATAAACGAACCAAAGAAAAGAAACAAAATAAATAAAATTCCTAATAAATATTATTAATACTCTTAACATTATTTTTCTGAACAAATTAGTCAAATAATAAATGGATGTGATATAATACAAATAATTTAATAATTTAATACTATTTACAAATTAATTATAAAGATCATGGTCCTTCGCCTTCGGTGTTGGCTTATTAAATACATCAACACCTAACAAGTAGTCTTTATTCCAAGGGTGAGAAACAACAAAATATGCTATTGTACTACAAGAAGTAGTTTATTATTACGACAAGTCAACAACTAAAAGCTTTTATGGAAGAGTGTTTGCAATGTATTAATACCGTTCATCAAATAGGCATCTGCGAGAATCAATTATACTTCCCACCTAACTGAGATTAGAGCTGATTATCTATGTATTATGGAAAAAATCCTTTGCAAACGACCTATTAATATTGAAAAATTCATCAACTATCATATCACCACGCGAGGTGAAAAATTCCAAAACGCCCTCTACCATACCCATTTGATGGTTGAAATGTGCAGAGAAGCTGGAGTTGAAATCCCATCGAAGAAACCCCTCGCAGATTTAATACCCCTATTACTCTAATGGCGATGGGAAACCCTGTGGTAAAAAAAATACTGTTAATAGAAAAACCTCAACTGCAAGTACATTAAAGGGATCCCCGAAAAAGAAGGCCAAGAAAGCTATAAGAAAATTTCATCATTGCCACTTGTCCTCGGAAGGAGATTAGGCAACAACAAAGGGAGACCACTTCAAAAAATCCACAATTGAATCAGATGACTATGTTACACTAATCTTTGAGAAAGCCCCAACTCATCAAATAAAAAGTAAAAATAAAGTAAGCAAGGATATTGATATGGCAAATATAGCTAAGCTAACAACCAGGAGAACTAAGAGAATTTCCATCCAAGAGTTACAATAAAAAAAGAAAAACTTCAACCAACTCTAGAATCTTAAGTACCACTGGAAGACAGTGATATATATATATATATTTAAAGAAGTTAAGATTTGGTAAGAAATATTTTAGCCAGCCAGAGAAAGAATTGCAAGCTATCCTAGAGAAAACCCGAACTGCACCCGCTTGACTAGACTCATATCAATCAGAACAAGATTTGGAGAAAGAGATGACACGATTGGCGGATGAGGAAAAAGGAATTGAAGAAAAGAAAGTTATGCAATTAGCTAAGTTGGAAAAACCAGAAGAATTGGAAGCAAAGAAAAGAAAGTTCAAAGAGAAAATAAGGGAAGCAACATAGAAGAAGAGAAAGAGAGAGAATGAGGAGAAAACAAGGAGAAATGAGCTGAAGAAGTGCCAACAAGAAGAGGCTGAGCGCGAGGCAAACGTTGAACGACTTAAGAAAATAGGAGATTGGCTGGGTTTGGAGGCAACATGGACTGAGGCCTATAATGAACAACTAAGGCGCGAGCAAAAAGAGGATAAAGTTGTGATGTACATATCCACACCTGTTACCACTTTGCTAGTAAATGGAACCCAACAAACAACAATTACTGCCCCCATATGTTGGATTAAAAATCCAATTGTGGGTTAAATGTAACTATTTGGGCTATCAGTCAGATTAAGCCTATATTAAGTGATCTATAAATTTATTGGGCTTAAATATATTTAGTAAGTGCGGGCCTCCAATGTGCAGAAACCCGGTAAATTATTAATTGGGTGAACAAACAGACCTTGTATGTATTAATTGCAAACAAATAGCAGTACGCAATGTATATCATATCAGTTATGATAAATCGGCCACAAAAAAAATCCAGGCAGATTTAATTTGATCTGATTCCCAAAAATTATTTATAAATCCAAGAATAAGTAGTAATTATCATTAAGAAAAACACTCCATAAATTTTAGGAGTACAATATATGATGATATGGATTCCTTGTCGAAATTAAGAAACACTTTACCAAAAGCGATAAGGCAAAAATGAGTATTCTTCTTAAAAGTCTCATTACCGTGAAATACAACGACAAAGGAAATATAAAAGAGTACATCCTAAACATGTCTAGTATTGCTACTAAATTGAGGGCACTTAAGTTAGACATTTCGGAGGACATGTTTGTTCTATTAGTCTTGCTCTTGAAATTAATTTAATTTCAATTCATAGACACACTTGGGAGTGGATTTTGGTGTAACAACACACATCAGTGTATCTATGCAAGATTATTTTATTGTCGAAATCAATTGATGTTGAAAGATACATCTATATGGGTGACGACAAGAAAGTTCAAGTTGAAGTCATTGACAATTTTAGATTATTATTGAGTACTCGTTATTATTTGAATTTGGATGAGACATTTTTTATGGTACCATCTTCAGTCAAAATTTAATTTCGATCTCTATTTTGAACAAATTCAGTTATTATTGTTCATTCGAATATAAAGTTTTGTCTCTTCCAGAATTCAAAATCGATTGGAACTAGTGCATCATTTGATAATAATAATCACCATTTACTTAATAGTCTGACTTCATATCATGAATTAGTTATTGAACATATTCATATAACTTCCACGATTACAGATCCGCTTAATTAGTAAAGGATTTCCACATAAGTTCTATAATGAACATATTGCTCGTTTGATAATGGAACCATATTTCCATAATTCGGTTTAGTGGGAGCTGATTAGTAATGTTCAAATACTATTAAAGTTACTTTGGTTTACACTGCACAGTTCAGTATTCAATGTTCAATATTCAGTGTGCAGTATTCAGTTGTTCTGAATTAAAGTTAAGGTGGATCAGTTGGAAATAGGCATATTAAGATCACATTACATGAAATTTCCATGCTGTGCATCCGCACTTGATCGAATCTTAGGTTATATTAGTGTTGTGACCACTGATCGGTCCCATTGCGATAAATGCAGTGACGGCCGCTTTGATCCGCATTGACGTGACTAATAGATAAGATTGGTAATATACATTAAGGATCTGATAGCAAAACATTCATGAGCTCATAAGATTATTCAGTGTACATTTACCAAAGTGGGAGATTGTTGGATTAAAAATCCAATTGTGGTTAAATGTAACTATTTGGGCTATCAGTCAGATTAAGCCTATATTAAATGATCTATAAATTTATTGGGCTTAAATATATTTAGTAAGTGCGGGCCTCCAATGTGCAGAAACCCGGTAAATTATTAATTGGGTGATGAGGTCAATTAATAATAAGGGATATAAATAGGGTTGTGATCCCAGGTCTATACGCAACAACCATTACGTTCCATATCTCATCGTGGGAGTAACGGTAGAAACCCTAGCGGTTTTCTCAAGAGGGATTGTGCCATAGGCTTGAAGAACACAAAACCCTCCATTGTTAGCAGATCCGAATTCGACTATGATAATGGAATAAGGTTAGATTTATTTTGCTTTATTTTTATCTCAATTATGATAACACGGTAGATCCTGGGCTTAGGGTTAAATTCCTGGTAAGTTCCAACACCATATCCACACATGAGACTGGTACCAATACTTTGAACTTTTCTCAACTAGATACTATTATTATTCCTATGTTGGTAAAACTGGACGCGATGAAGAGTGGAAAAGTCGAAATCATTGAGGATATTAAGGAAATGAAGGAAAGGTTAAGGGAGAATGGAAACTAAAGTTTCAGCTATCATAAGATATTTCCGGACTTGGATAGCGATGTACTTTAATGTCTGTAATTGAATTGAAATGGGGTAGTTCTGTCTTTTGATTGTAAATGTGATCTTACTTTTGATTGTGTGCTAATTTGAAAAAATCCGAACTCCATCTGAAATCATGGTAGATCATTATGTCTATCATTACACGATCATGTTAGTTGTTAGTTTTAATATTTTTAAAGTAATTTGAAATTGAAATTAGTCAATAATTAGGTTGACTCGCAACACAAGTAATGATTTGAGTGATCAAATAGACGAGCATCCCATTATTTTACCTTTTTCCACATTCATCAAAATTTCATGGTGTTTTTTATTATTATTTTTTTTTTTGCCTTTGCTAAGCTAACTTGTGATGGCATTGGGCTAGTACTTTTTAAAAATGAGTATGACGAATTAGAAATGCAAACGGGGACTCAATATGGTAATAAGAGAGAAAGATAATCAATATGATCATGATAGAAACAATGTCCAAACTCTGATCAAGTAAAAAACATAAATAAAAAAATCGATGAGTGATCAAAAAAATGAGAAAAGAAAAAGAAAAAATAGAGACCAGCACTGAAATGAAAATATTATTATTCAACATGATGTTTGGGAAAAAAATATTTCCAAAATAAAAAAGTCAAAACTTGACAAAACCCACCTTTGGTTTTACAAAATTGCGTCAAATCCCTCATACTTTCAAAACTGCGTCAGACTCCTTATGGTTTCATAAACTCTGCATCTAACCCTCTCTGTCGTTCTTACTTAACGGTGTTTGACCTACATGCACCCAAAGTACGAATAAGTTTCAGAATATCCCTTTCTAAACCTCTAAAATTACAATTATATTTAACTTTAAGGAACAGTAAAAAAATTCTTAGAACCAAAGAAAAACAACTATTTCTGAGTATACTGTTCTTTGAGGTTAAATATAACAAGAATAAATA